AAATCTAAGGTCCAGTCTGAGGGAGGCATATCAGTGTTTGTAGGATGACTTCAACTCAAGCATGGACCTTCCAGATGATTCCCTTGGGACAGCATATGTTATACATTGAGCGTCCCTTGCTCTCCTGCTCCAAGGATGATGACAGAGAAAAGAAGAATGGAGTTTGGCCAAAGCTTTTCTGTCTTACACTGCTGTGGCGGTTTGAATGAAAATGGCCCACAAAGGACCACAGGGAGAGGCACTATTAGGAGGTGTGGCCTTGTTGGGTAGGTGTGGCCTTGTTGGAGTGGGTGTGGTCTTGTTGGAGGAAGAGTGTTACTGGGGGTTGGCTTTGAACAATTCAGAAGCTCAAGCCAGGCCCAGTATCACCCTCTCTTCCTGCTGCCTGCAGACCTAGATGTAGCACTCTCAGCAACCTCTCCAGCACCATGCCTGCCTGCATGCCACCATGCTTCCCACCAAGATGACAATGGACTAAACCTCTGAACTGTAAGCCAGCCCCAATTAAATGCTTTCCTTTATAAGAGTTGCTGTGGTCATGGTGTCTCTTCCCAGCAACAGAAACCCTAACTAAGACGACTGCAATAAGGGCAGGAAATATGAAAGCCAAGAATCCCACTTCTCTCTTGGGACCTTGGTAGCCACAGGCTTCATTGGTTGTTTCTGTCCATCAGTCACATCCTGGTGTCCCATAAAGGCCATTAAAGACATACGAATTTTCTTCTACTTTTTATGCGTACTTGTCTGTGGTCCTAGTACAAGCAAAGGAAGTCCTTGGGAGGGTTGACCCTGTCTATTCCCACTTTAAAAACAGAGTGGCTCCACCATGAAGCCCAGTTATTTATATCTCCAGATTCCTCTCAATTCTGTGCAACTGACTTGTTCAGGGATTGGAGGCGACAAAAGCAAACAAGCATGTCTCCTTCCTAATGGTCCCTGAGAGGTGAGGGAATGTTACCATCGCCTTCATCTCTTTCCCTACAGACCAGTGGTTCTCAACATGTGGGTCACGATCCCTTTGGGGGGTGGTCGCATATCAGATATCCCACATATCAGATTATTTATATTACAATTCACAACAGTAGTAAAATTACAGTTCTGAAGTTGCAATAAAATGATTTCCTGGTTGAGGGTCACCATAACGTGAGGGACTGTATTGAAGGGTCGCAGCATTAGGAAGGTTGGGAACCTCTGCTCTAGACTGTGTTCTCTGCAGCTGGAACAGTAATAATGACTTCACAAAGTCCAGGAACATTCGACAGTACTGTTGACCCCATGATTCATGGTCCCTCTTATAGGACTTTGTATTAGAAGTTGTTGAAAAAAAAAATGACCATGTTGGCTAATCTAAAATACTAAAGCCACCACTCTGGCTCCTAGTTCCCTTATTCTCAGTCAGTTATCTGAGTTCACTTCAGCAGGGCTGTGACCAGGTAAGGGAGGCTTGGGAGGTCAATCGCTGCGATTAGAACTCAGAGCTGAGTGAGGTGGCACACACCTTTAATCACAGCGCTTGGGAGGCCAAGGCAGGCAGATCTCTAAATTCCAGACCAGCCTGGTTTACACAGTAAGTTCCAGGACACCCAGGACCACATAGAGGAACTGTCTAAAAATAAAACAGAAAACTATAGGACTCAGACTCTGACTTGCAAGGTCTTTTGGATCCACCATCCACCGACGTACTCTCAGAGCACGTGTGTACAGAGCACAACACACACTGAGGAGTGCTGGAAAAACCGTGGTGTCCTGCTTTGCATAAAGCAGCTGGACAGCCAATGTCCAGCTGAATGGTTCAGCGTTGGGCACTTGCAATCCTGGGGACATTGTTTCTTTTACTTCCTGTTTCTACCCCAGTCATCTTAGAGATAAGATGACAGATTCACGTTAATAATTATAAAACTCTACTGAATTTCATATTAGTAAAAAGCAATGTTGCTTTGCCTTCCAATTTCTGTGATGGCAACTGTGGGCAGAGTTTAAATTGCGTCGGTTTCACACCACTGTGACAAATGTCTGAGAGAGCAACCGGAAAAGCAGGAGAGACTTCTTTGGGTTCATGGTCAGTCTACCATCCTGGTCCTCCAGTGAATCAGAACACCATAGTGGGAAAAGGTGTGGGGGTCCCAAGTAGCTCACTTCAGGGCAGCCAGGAAAGAGGGGGAGAGACAGGAACACCTTCCTCCATAATGATATACCTCCTCCGATCAAGCTTCACCTTTTAAACTTCCTACCACCTCCCAAAATAGCACGGCCTGTTTCGGACCGGTCTGGAAGACATTTCACATTCAAGCCGTGGCATCTATAGAAAGGATAGCTGGAACTTATGGCTGCCTCTGCACACTAGAGGCACCATTTTTGTCCACCCTACCGTCCCACGGCTGGGCTGCTGTGGGCTTTCCCATGGAGGGAAATTCTTTTGAACTTCCTGAAAAATCTCTTTTAGGGTGCATGTCTGCTGTCCGATGGGAGAGGGGAGGCCCCGCCAGCAGATGGCTTCTTTCCCTGGATCCTGAGTCTGTGTGGTCAAGCAGTTCAAAGTTGTGACAGCCACAGGTAGTTTACCCATGATTGTCCGAATCCACCCATATGTCCACTCTACCCTGCGAGGGCTGTGAGAGGGAAGGAAGAACCTTGGGAGATTAAGCTGGGTCTCGGACAGCAGCCACCCTGCTCTCCTCCCTGGCTCTCGACCATGGGTGGTGTGGGCTAGCTTCTGCTTTCCTGCTAGACAGGCTGACGCAATGGGGCCCATCCCCTCCTGCTTTCCCCCATCCGCTGAATACAACCTATATCTTAAAAAACAAAACAAAAAACTAACAAGACCTATACAGAAAACAAAACAAACCCCCCCCCCCCACACACACCAACTTTAAACTATGGCTCTCCTTCCTCAGACGCTAAAAATGGAAGCATAGTTTCATATTTTTTTTCCCGGTTATTTATTACATTGTTGCTTTTGAGACAGATACAAACCAACCATCCTGTTCCACCACACACACAAAAACATCCATTCTTGTGATTTTTTAAAGTGCATTTCCCCTCTACCATTGTGTACAAAAATATTTCTTAAAAACATGCAGACGGTTTTGGACAAGGCACTTTGAGGCGTAAAATGATGACAAGTCGTCAGTTGAATATTCACATTAAAGCAAAAGTGTGACATCATCACACGTACAGTCTAGCAGTCCTCATGCCCCAGGGGTCTCTGGGAACTAGCAGCAAAGCCGTGGAAACACTCACAGCTTTGTGGGCTGAGCTGGGGGTCCCTGACAGTCTTCAGCAGGTGAAACTATTACTCCTCTACTTCCCATCCCCCACTTCAGGAACGCTGCCACATCGTCTCTGGAAGATCCCGTTAGAGGTGATATCCCATGATTTTCGGAACACCTTATCTCGTTTCTGTGGTCATGCCAGGAGATACAGGTAAGCGAAGACCTTTCCAGAACAATGAGCCACCCAGCTTACATCTCAGGGATGAAACAACTCCAACCATGGGCTCAAGTTGCTTCAGTTTCTGGAGAACTACAGACTTCCATGATTTCTTACTAGCTTTCCTATAATGAATTCTTACACTCAAATGCTTCTTGCAAGAAACATGGAAAACTTGTTTAGCATATAACCTTTTATAGCCCAGCTTATTTATCGTAGCCATTTTGCAAAGGCACCCCAGGGAATATGGGGAAATAAATACGAAACAAAAACGGAGTTGCTTTCTCTTCCTGGATTATAGTGTCGGGAATGGACACTGGGATTAGGGTCCATTCATCACCGTAACCAAGAGTTGCGTGAAGGCAGATGTCCAGGTCAAGCTTGCAGTGGGATCTTCAAGCAAGAGGCCTGTCACCCTCTGAGATGTGTAGGTTTGTCTGTAATCGTGAACTATGAACAAAGCATAGAGTCTCTCAATGTAGCTCCTGAGGCTATCATCTCAGAGTCATGGGACAGTCTGGGTCAAAAGGAGGACTGTGTTGGAGGCAGGGGGAAAAAAGATTCTTCAGAGTCTCAGTGAGGGAAGTCAGGCACACAGGCTGCTTCAGTGGGAAGGGTCTTGGCAAGCAGGTGAAGACATGTCCTCTGGGCTGAGCAGTGGGGTGCACATCCCAGGTGTGCTGGCTGGGGACTTTCAACCAGTGCCCCTAGCAAGAAAGCTGGGGCAAATCCGGGTAAAAGGGGCAGGGAGGGGGGTTATGTCTGCTTCAGGAGGGGTACATAATGTGGAACTGCCATATTTCATATTTTGACACGGAATGTCTGAAGACCATCATTCCACACCACTGAGCAGACTTCATTCCACAGTTACTGGGGGCCCTTTTCTTCAGTCTCCCCCTCTGTAAGTAACAGTGCATCTGGCTGCCTTACCACATCGGAGAAAGAAGAATACGTCTTAGCATGAGATAAACCCTATGACCCATAAGAGATCAGTTTTGCTTGTGTCCAATTTAAATCTAGCAGCTCCAATCACCATAACTGGAGCATTTAAAGTACGTCCATCTAGCAGATACATGGTATGCTTAGATAACACACAACCCCCCCCCCCCTGCTCAATTTCAGCCTGACTTACGAACGTGATTTGCCCAGATATCAGCACACTACCCCAGAGCGCTGCCCATCTGGGAGGGCCGCAAAACACAAAGCACAGATTACAGACTAGTACCGGTTTCAGGGATAAGAAAATCAGGCAAAACAGGACTTAAAAAGTCAAAACACTTTAAACTTCAAAAGTGAAAAAAAAAAAAGAAAAAGAAAAAAGAAACCACACGTGCTAGGATCAAAAACATTTGATACCTGCCTGCTGCTAACATATGAAGCCAGAGGACACAGGGGCCTTGTCCAGCACCCCACCCTTGCCCCACCCCAAATCCTATGAAGCTCTACACCTCTTTCCCTCATCCCTCAGGGAAACCTCGCTTCAGTAAGAAAATTAAACAGACATTTTTACCAATCTTCCAAAACAAAAAAAAAACAACGCCCCCAGAGTTCTACAAATATGCATGCAAAAATAGTTTTCAAACTGCCCTACAATTTTAATTTGCCCAAGAGAAAAATCACAGGTTCTGGGGGACCATCCAACAGTAACAGTTCCAGGAGTCTCAAAATACCACTTGATAATGCGCTGCAGTCCAATATGGTTGAGAAAAAAATTCATCTCTGAAACCCCAGAGTTGACAAACATTTGAAATAACATAGGAAAACTAGATGAAGTTTTTTTTTCCCCTCCCTGTTACAATACACACCATAAATAAAAGCTCCCAACCAACGTCCTCGGATGCTTATGAAGCATCCCAAATATGACTGCATACCGCAGACAAATCTAACCATTTTCTGGAGGCTTCCAGCGTGTGCCGGACACGCCATTTGAACGTCTCATATGCGGCGCTGACGTGATAGGTCCAGAAGAAGAGAGCTACGATTCTCCCATAACTAAAGCAGCTCACACGCCAGCCAGGCAAGTGGAGATAGATCTAGTCCTTGAGACTTCTGGTCATTCAGAGTGAAACCAAGTGCTTAGAAAGCACCCCCAAAACGCAAAAGCTAAAACTTGTGGCTATCCCACCATGTCACCAGGCTGTACCCCATGTCGCCACATGGAGACCAATGACTTTCCAGTAACTGGTGTGTCGCTCTCTGTTGGAATATAAAGAAGAGGTCAGGAAGAGGGGAGAGGAAATGCCTATCCCAGCCACGAACTACTACTTGTTTGCCTTTGATTATCTGGTCCGGATCACTGGCTGGACTGTGCAGGAGAAGAAGGGAAATGCAGAGCATGAGCTTTCACAGAAAGGGGCTGCCTCCACCGCTCTTTGGAAGCTACAGGGTATCAGGCCAGTGTGTCATGGAGCTGAGATAGAGGTGACTCCGAGGACGTGTGGAATGAAGGCAACCCATGGGAAAGCGTGGGTGGGGTGGGACCCCGAGGTCAATGGTAAGGCTGGAGACTGGTGGCTTCTGGGTGACTGACTTTCCACATGCAAGGGTGGAGGAGAAGCCAGCTTCCTCCATTCTTGCCAGCTTGGCTCCTCTCCAGACCACCCTGGCACCATCCTGTGCATTCTTTTGTGGCCAGCCCGGATGCCACAGAGGACCAGCAGTTATCCTCCGAGCAAGAAACCAGCTGTGATGGAAACACGTTGGACTTGCTGGGTTACCAAAAAAGGCGAACAGGATCCCATCTTTTCAAAAAACCATGCCTAATGGCAGTTCAGCTTCACTCTTGTCTTGCACTCTCTACTGCATCTGGATCAGTCAGGCTGTCAATTTCAGTCACTAGTAGTAGGGACCCAGCTTTTCATATCCCAGGTAACTTGGCCACTCTGGGAACAGGCCGTAGGAACACCGGGGGCTTCCAAACTGGTCAAAGGATATTCCCAAGTCCGGTCCATTGTACGGCTCAATCATTCCCTGAGTGGACTGGAGTTCAGCCCGGATGATCCTGTAATTTTTGCCTTTGTTGCTGTCCCAGTATGTCTGGCCGCTACACTCGTAGCACACGGCAAACTCTATTCTTTCGTAAGACTGAATTTTCTCAGGTAAGCTGATGTCAAAGGAGAACGTGTCCCTGTCTGAACCGGCATAAGTGTCCTTCACATACCGACAAGGGAAGTCTGTGAAGCTTTTCCAGGTGTCAAACGTCATTCTGATCTTCACGACCTTCTCGAATGCCAGGTTCTGGACCTTCACGGTGCCGGCGATGGCTTTGTCCTTCAGCACACAGTTTTCGAGGCAGACCTGGTTGGTCTGAAGTCGGTTTCTGAAGTCTAAGTAATCTGCCGAAGGCTGCGGAAAATCCAAAACAAAGCTCTCGCTCTCTGCTGTCGTCAGGCTCACGATGTTGTCTAGGAGCTCGGTGATGTTAAACGGGATATCTAGTGGGTCATCGAATTCCGAGAACACTTTGACCATTGTCAGGGCCAGCCCCTGATTGTCGGCGAAGGACACCCGCTTCTTCACCTTCTTCTCCTGCACCGTGGGGGCCACCATTCCGCTGGCTTCATCCCTGCTGCCCAGCTGAATACAAGGTCTCAGCGGCTTGCTCAGCTTTGGGGAGATCTTGAAGGTGAAGCGCTCCCGGCGCAGAGAAGGGGCCATGCTGCTGTAGCTGTACTGGATGTCCACAGCCATCACGGGGCTAGACGAGCAGGCTGGAGGTCTGGCCAAAGGGAGATGAGAGAGAAAACAGCAAAGAGGTCAGAGAGACGTTTAAACCCTCGTCCTGGCCGAGACTGACAAACAATGTTGTCTTTCATCTGGATTCACACTCCCATGTGGTCTCACAGGACACAGGTTTCAGGGCAGATTGGGGTGGGGTTTGGGGGGGCAGGCGGATGGAAAGAGAAGCTACGATTAAAACCAACAAAGAAAAGAGAGTGGAACTCAATAGTTTCAAGGCTAACTATTCATGGTTTTTTCTCTGCCAGGATGTCTTGGGTCCTCCTGTATGCTAATACACCACAGAGAGGAATGAGAAGGGCATTAAGAATTGTGGTTTCCTATTGTTTGCAGAATTACTCATTTATTTGACTGAAAGAACTCCCCCCCTTTTTTGTGGAGTATATACGCCACAGATAGCTGATCTTACAATTGTATTTGGTAAACACCCACACCATCATTTGACAAATAAAACTTGTTTCTATTTTAAGGCTGATGAACGGACTCAGTGAGTAACGGTGTTGCCACCAAGCCTCACGACTTCACTTCAATCCCTGCGACCCTCACAGGAGAGAGGGAAGCAGTTTCCACCCTTGTCCTTTGACCTTTACACGTGCACCAGGCACACATGGACCCACACTCAATAAATAGATGCAATAAAAATTGTATGTACTCATTGTGGAACGGCTGACACACTTAACGTGCATTTCTTTGCATACTTGGGAAGTGAGGATATTTAAAATCTACTCTAAGCAATTTCCAAATGTACACTGTTCTTAACCATTGCAGCCACCATTCTATTTCATAGTCAATGTCTTACCTCTTTAAATTCTACCTAAGCATGTGCATTTGTCTTTCTGTGATGGGCTTATTTCACTCAGCGCAGTGCCCTCTAGGCTCATCTCCATGTTTCCACAATGACACCATCTCATACTTGTCTCTATGAACAGCACTCCGCTGTGCATACATCCCACATGTTCTTTGTCCATTCATCCACCGAGAGACGCTCAGCTAGATTTCCTATCTTGGCTATGAGTGGTGAATATGGGACTATGGACGTCACCTCAATGTACTGGTTTCCTATCCTTTCAGTATGCACCCTGAAGCAGGATCACTGGATCACATAGTCATTTTATTTTTGATATTTTTTGAGAAAACACCACAGCATTTTCTGCAGTAGCTGCATTAATTTGTATTTCTACTACTTACATCTTTTTGAAAGATAACCATTTTAACAATATTAAGTGTGAGCTATTCATGTCTTTAATAATAAATACTGACATGATCTAATAAAGAAGCATCATATTTAGAGCACAAACATTGACTGGGTATTTACCATGCATCAGGCATTATGCTATTATACACTGGCGCTCAGCGATGAGAATGGACACAGACTTATTTTCACTGAACTTACTTATGGAAGTTCTATGTTCCAGTATACCTTTCTTTAGAAAAAGGACGAGCAGCTTATTTCTTTATACTTTGATATACTAGTAGATATTTGCTTTGTATATAGGTGATAAGAGTTGTCATAAGAATTAGAAGCAGCTGTGTGGTGGTGGTGGAGCATGCCTCTAAGTTCCAGGGCATGGGAGGCAGAAGCAGGTGGATCTCTGAGTTCAAGGGCAACCTGGTCTGCAGAGTTTTAGGATAGCCAGGGATACACAGAGAAATTCAGTCTCACAAAAAAAAAAAAAAAAAAAAAAAAAAAAAAAAAAAAAACAAATGTAATAACATTAAATATTAGCTTAAAACCATGAAAGAAATGTAAAAGAGGCTCAGAAACGTGCAAGCTATCCAGCCTTAAAAGTTATTTAAGAAATTCAAACAGAAGTTGGCTGTGATGATGCATGCTTGTAACCTCAGCTACTCAGAAGGGGGGTGGAGGGAGACTCCAGGTTCAATGACTGCCTGGGCTGTGTAGTGAAAGTCCTTTTATAATTAATTAGCTAAATTCAAAACTAAAGAAATTTTATATTGGAAATATCTGTTTTTACCTATTGGATGAGAAAAGAATTATAAGACTTTGGGTGGGGGGCATTTAAGACAGGGTTTCTCTGCATATCCTTGGCTGTCCTGGAACTCACTCTGTAGACCAGGCTGGCCTTGAACTCAGAGATCTGCCTGCCTCTGCCTCCTGAGTGCTAGGATTAAAGGCATGTGCCAGCACTGTATGGCTATAAAAGGCATTTTTTATTATCAAAATTGGTATAGTCTTTCTAAGTGTTCTTATCATTTCTATTCTAATGTTACATACAATGTCATTTACCCTAAATAAGTAATTAAAATTAATAGAAATTAATAAGAGAAATAATGAGAATGTCTAATAAGGATGCCTCATAAAATCAATTGTACCATATCCATATTATTTGATTATATACAACTAACTTCATTATTTGAAAAAGTACTTAAATGGCATGGAAAATATTTATTTTCATTTTGGACTTCATATTTTCATTTTTTGGGGGACAGCATCTCACTATATACCCTGGTTGACCTGGAACTAGATATGTAGACCAGGCTAGCCAGATCTTCCTGCCTCTGCTTCCCAAGTGCTGGGATTAAAGGCATGAGCCACTGCGCCTAGATAAAATGTTATCATGTATTGTTAATGTGAAAAGGAGGAGACAAAATTGTACACAAATACAAACACAAGAGAAAATACTGTGTTTACAGAAAAGTGAGCAGAGATAAAGTATACTCTCATTGGCTTTGTTTCCCGTGGTTTCAGCTCTTTACCGTCAATAGTGCTTCAAAAAATATTAAAATAAAAATTGCAGCCCCGTGCGGTGGTGGCACACGCCTTTAATCCCAGTACTCAGGAGGCAGAACTGGGTGGATCTCTGTGAGTTCGAGGCCAGGCTGGTCTACAGAACAGATCCAGGACAGGCACCAAAACTACATATAGAAACCCTGTCTCTAAACAAACAAACAAACAAAACAAAACAAACAAACCCCCGAAAATTCCATAAGTAAACAATCATTTAAATTATGCGGCACTCATTCTGAGCTACATGAGGCCATCCCACCAGGTGGAGACCTGCTTCTTCCTCGGAAACCAATCGTTCCTCAGTCGATAAATCCATGATACATATGCCACCCTCCCATCAGAGACTTAGAGTCATCTCGGGTATCAGATACCAGCAGGATTACAATGTTGTTGTTTAAGAAACCTTTATTTGACTTAAGAATGACCCCAGAGTATAAGAGCAGTGACGTAAATGAGGTATTTGGGCATATAACATGGAAAGACAGTGTGGAACCGTGGAGCAGGGCTGTGAGGAGAATAGAAAGTGCAGAGATCACAGGGCGATGGCGGCGCCCGCCTTTAATCCCAGCACTTGAGAGGCAGAGGCAGGTGAATCTCTGTGAGTTTGAAGCCAGCCTGGTCTACAAAGTGAGTCCCAGGACAGGCTCCAAAAGCTATATAGAGAAGCCCTGTCTCAAAAAGCCAAGAGAGAGAGAGAGAGAGAGAGAGAGAGAGAGAGAGAGAGAGAGAGAGAGAGACAGAGACAGAGACAGAGACAGAGAGAGACAGAGAGATTGCAGGGACTATTTTATGGTTAAAAATGTCGGGGACTATGCATGTGACATATTTCCTTAAAGTTGTTTCCTGCCTTGTGTTTCCTTATATCTTCTACAACAATACTGCTTCTATCATCAGAAAAAGAAACGGGAACCTTAAGAAAACATTCAAAACCACCCTGACACTTAACCTCACTAAAGCCGCACGCACACCTTTTTATCGGTCTCCTTATGACACTTAACCATGGTCTGAGCTGAAGAAGCCAGTAATAACACCTGGATCGAAGTCTCAAATCTGAGACTGTAGGTTCCAAACATCTGCCTTCTTCCGGCTAAACTGAGAGGACGAGGCAGGTAAAGGTGTCGTGGCAGGGAGGGGGGCGGCCTTGCTCACAGGCCTCCGTGGCTGCCTGAGAAGTGATAACTTTTGACAAAGTTGCTCATCTTTTGCCAAGTGCTGGAGAACTTTGCGTTTGACTCAGTAAGTACTCTTTCTTTCAACTTCTGAATCTGACTAAACAAATACACAATGGAAAAAAAAAATGCCAGGCAGTGGTGGTCTAGATCTTTGGTCTTAAGACTTGGGAAGCAGAGGCATGGAGATCTGAGTTTGGAGCCAGCCTGTTTTACAGAGCTGCTTCCAGGATAGCCAGGGCTAGAGAGAGAGAGAGAGAGAGAGAGAACACAAAGACATATCAGGTTCCCGATGTACTTTTTTTTTTTTTTAAGTTACATTGGTTTTTGTGGGTGCACAAAAGAAGCCTGGTTACCCTGTCTTGCCTCTAAATCTGGGCACTCTCCCAAGTGGCCATGGCCACAGACTTCTTGTACCCGCAAAACCAATGTCTCACTACTTCCCGTCTAGTGAAGGAAGTCATCCAGTGAAAAGTTTCCAAGCAAAAATTGCTGGGTCTGCTCTTGTGTCCATGCACAAGACTGTTCCTAGAAAGTGAAATTCTGACTGAACTGGCTTTACAAATGACCAGTGAGCTGACTAACATTTTTTTTTTTTTTACAGGACTTATTACCTAACAAATTCCTGTTAGAAATATTCCTTCTGTTTCAACCTTAACGTGGGTATTTTTTTTTTGCACCCTTTATGCATCAAAACTGAACACCAGGCACATCACAACGCATGCTCCACATTCCAGAGCTTCCCCACTCACTGCCCACCCTCGAAAAGCCGGGAGTGAATGGGGGAGCAGAAGTCTCTCCTCTGCTCGACACTTCCTCCTGGTCTGAGTCAACACCAGGTGCCCCTCTGCAGTTCCCCCAAGCTCCAGGACCAGCCTCAGCCACGCTTTCCTGAAAGTTTTTGAAGCAGCTTGTTGGAAAACGGTGCAAAATTGTCAAGCTACTGTGGAAGCAGAATACCAAAAGCAGAGAGATAACTAGACTCCTGCAGCCCTGGAAAGCACTCTCCAGGGTTCTAGTCCTGCGGGTTCAAGATTGGAGCTGAAGTCGCTGGTGAAGTGGCTGGACCCCAGGATGTAAATGTGCCCAACTCTAAGAAGAGTTGAGGTTGGAGAGATGTTTCTAATCAGAGCCAAGGCTAAGAAGAATATCCAAGAGACATTTTCAAGAATACAATGTGCTTTCTTTGCAAAGACTCTTCCATGAAAGGCAAACGTGGTTATGATGGCCCAGGAGTTACCACTGGGACTCCTGCCCTGCAAAATTGCATCAGCACGTCTGGCTTCGAAACCCTTCATTTTTTCTGTGTGTCGCCATCACTGCAGCTTAAGGACATTTACCCTTGTGGCCTCTATCAAGGGTATGATGTGAGGTCGTCCTCACAGAACATTCCAGCTTTTATTAACCTGACTCTCATCCAAGAATCGGTGTGCTAAAGGGCTTTGTTTGATTTGAGCTTCTCTGGCGTTCCCAACAGACTGTGACAGTGCTAATAGACACTTAGAAGTACCCCCCAGCACCCGAGACAGTCCGGCAATAGTTAAGTCCCCTAAGGGAAGCACCTGGACACATCCGCACCCACATATGCTTGGCTGTACCTCAGGCCTCTGGTCCCTCCAGACCCTGGCTGCTCCAGCCTTACCCTCTACTGAGGGAACAAACAGAAACAGAGAAAAGTATGCACATTTGAACCGGTAGAGTGTGATACAGGATTCAGGACACCAGTTGCAGGACAGGATCCTGGGAGTACGAGCTGTTTCCCATGGACACACTTTGCTTTCACGTGGGTGTCTCAGAGGTTAATTACTTCTGACGAAGGACTGGACCATGTTTGGGACCCTTGCAGAAATACCTTCCCCGTTCTCGTGAAATAATGTGGTCTCTCAAGATACGGGGCAGTCTTAGAAGTCCAGTGATATTTCTTTTAAGATTGACAAGCCTGAACAGAGAATGACCCCATGAGCTTCCTCGTTTCAGGCAGTTGAGCAGTGACTGACTTGCTGGCTGTGCCTTTCTTTTTGAACCTCTTCCTCGCTGACCCGAAAACCCGATTAACAATAACCCACCAGCAACACTACATTAGATAAATATCCACAGCCAGGTTATCCCTGGACACCACCATCCACTCCATCCCCCTCCAGAAATTCTCTGTTCTCTTCCCAAATACTTAGCTGGTACTTTACATGTAAAAAGTTGACATTGTCTCCCTTTTGTACACAGACCCTAATTATTCCAGCCTCAATGGGTACCCCTCAATCCTTGGAGATAAATGTTTGTGAATAGAGCTGTGTAACGAGGAGTCAGACAACTTTGAGACAGCCCTCACCACCTAATAATGTCCAAAGGCACCACTGAACGCTGGCCTAAGAAAGCCCCTAACCGGCTAAAGTTTAATAAACGATCTCTCTGGCATGGGGGTTCTCTTCTGAGGTCCAGCTCTGACCTCCTGGGTTGCTAACAGGGCTCTGATGGTTCTTTCCACTGACTTTCCCCTAAATGGCCCTAGTCTACTTCTGTGGTCCCACAGCTGTCTCCACTTTCTCCCTGGATGTATTTGCCAAGTGAACCATTTCCTTTCCTTTCCTGCCTAGGCTGAAGAAGCCCTTCTTTCTCTGGGACCCTCCTGGCACTGCTGGGACACACGGCCCCCTTCCAGCAACTCTAAAAGTTCCCCGACTCGAGTCTTTTTTTTTTTTTTTTTTTAAGCTTTCTCTTGACTGTTTCGCTCCGTGCCTGCCATTCGCTGTTCTGAAACTACTGTGCGGTTCACAGCCTTTCCTCTGGGTTCAGAAAAGTGTCTGCGAACAGGTCCCTGGGGGACAGGTCAGCGAGTCCCGATGATCCCACCAGCCACTCTCCGACGGTGATGTGCCTGCATCCCTCCCCCAGTCTCCCCGCGAGGCGGCTTCGCCTGGGTCTGCACCTACCTGTCCCGCGCCGCCGCAGCCCGGGCCCCTGCTGGCTGGCCTCATGGGAGAGCCTGTGAGTGGTGGCAGGAGTGACTGCTGCTCCTGATCTACGTGAGCGTCGGAGTGTCCCGGAGGCAGGGCCTGGGCTTAGTTCCCGGAGACGACCAAGGAGGAGGAGCCCGAGTTATCACCCCAGGGCGGGACCTGGCGACGGGACAGCCCAGGCCTGAGTAGCGCCTCGCGAGCACCCCCGCGCGGTTCCCGGGTGGATCTTACCCCCCCCCCCCCCCCCCCCCGCCAAGCTTGTCGCCCTCGGAGACACGGGACTACCCAAGGTGTGCGTGCCCTTGCTGTGTGCAGCCAAGGGCGATCTGAACCGAAGTAGGGACAAGTCCCCACAACTTGATGGAGTCAGGGCTTGGAGATGGTTCTCTTACACCCATCTCGTAAAGGGAAACTGAGTCCCTGGCGACTTGTATCTGGACTCCAGATTCCGCCGCAAAAACCTGGAATTATCCTCCAGAAGTGTTAAATCTCATGCTGGGGCTATGCCATGTCAGAACTTGCCACATCTTTTTTTGTTCAGGACAACTTTCCTGGTCACGTTTCGCGGGCTAATCCCGCTCGGAGGTCCCCTCTAGGCTCCATCCCAGCTCGGGGGCCCTGAGCTGTTTTCACCACGTGGAAGCGACAAGCTATCCGAGCCCAGCTAGGGTGTTCTGCCACCTGCGTGTCACTCACTGTAAGTGGGACGACAAATGGCCGGGAACAGAGAGGGGATCCCCCGCACGCGCCCCTCACCGCAGATTTCCTGGCCCTGCACCTTGAGCTCGAGGCTTGGGGAGGTACGTACCGGGTACAGCTCTTGAGTACCGAGGGCACACCCTCCAGCCCACCCCACCATCTGCGCGGGGTGACAGTGTCAGCGACCACGACGGCAAAAGTGGGGCTCGGTGCATGCGACGGCGGCCCTCTCAGCTGCTCCCGGGATGGCAGCACTCTCGACTCCAGCTCCCGCAGCCCGTGGCACACTTTAACTTTCCTCTCCCTGCTAAGGGTGCCATCCCAGACCTTCCCCTGGCTCAACACATGAATACCGGACGGACGCAGCCAGTGATCACTCCCGGGACGCGGACCAATAGCCACATTGGGGCAAGCAGCACTCCGCCACGTGATCTGCAGCGTGCGGTGAGTGACATAGCTGGAGTCCAGGATCTGGGAAGGGGACGGCGGGTCACAGTTTCATCGGGAGCCAGGGGACCCAAGCCAAGGGGCGGAGGCGATTCCCTACGGTGGAACGTCCGGCTGTAGAAACTGACTGAGGAGCGTGTAAGGTTTCTTTCCCCTAGCTAGCAAAGATCTCAGTGGCCCAGGTGTAGAGGGCATTGTCTTTCCTTTGGCCCCGCCTTCGCCTTGGTAGGACCAGAGCCCCAGGGTTCATAGATGGCTGTGACCTTCCCAGAGGCAAATGTTCACTCCCTCGATATCCCATATCTGATTTTACCCGCATCTTCTGCAGTAATGTTCCAAGCACTCACTGAATCTTGCTTTTGTGGCCGTCGCTCCAGCCAAATCTTTCCCTTAGCTGTAGTATTGGGCGGAACACCATCTGCGTGCTCACAGCACAGCAGAGGTGGCTGAGGATTAGTAAGGTGGGCGTACTTTGGAAGATGCCTGACTTGGATCTGTTATAGTAGCTGTCTGCATATTCATAGACCGCATGTTGTTTCTGATGCCCTTGGGGCTCCGTGACTTTAGGGACACTTAGGGGCGGTGACTTTAGGAGTCAGTGACTCCTCCTCTTCTGGGAAATGAAGCCTATTGGCCTGAGCTGGCCACTTGAAGGAGGCTCATCCTTTTCTAACTTTAGTGACTAGTAAAATTTAGGAAGTAGCAGCTAATTGATACAGGTTTGCCAACTTTAAAAAGTGCTAAGTCAGCCGGGCGGTGGTGGCGCACGCCTTTAATCCCAGCACTGGGAGGCAGAGCCAGGCACATCTTTGTGAGTTCAAGGCAAGCCTGGGCTACCAAGTGAGTTCCAGGAAAGGCACAAAGCTACACAGAGAAACCCTGACTCGAAAAAAAAAAAAAAAAAGTGCTAAGTCGACACATTAAAAACAAATCCTGACATTTTTTTTTAAAGCACCCCCCGCCACACACACACACACACTTTATTATGTAGCTCAGACTGGTCTTCAACTTAATTCTGTAGTCCAGGCTAGCCACAAACTCATAGTCCTCCTGGGATTATAGACATGTACCACCACCACTGACTTTTTTGTTTGTTTAGTTTGGTTTTCTGAGACAAGGTTTTCCAGTGTAGCTCTGGCTGTTCTAGAACTCACCCTGTAGACCAGGCTGGCCTTGAACTCAGAGAATGACAAAAAGAAATACAAAAGAAGAAGGTGACTGCTGCTACGTTTGGTAGAGGAGATTTATTGTAGATATGAGAGAGAACACAGGCAGAGGCAGGGACATCTGGGAAAGTTCAGAGTGAACTTAACCCTGAGCCAGCAAGCCCCGTGAGGAGAGGAGGGGAGGGAGAGAGGGGAGAGGAGCCACTGACCAAGAGACCAGGAGGGTAAATGGTAGACCAAAAGGGATTGGTAACCAAAATATCTGGACTATATAGGGAAGCTGGGCTGCATAAGTTTAGGGTATCGGGCAGGCCATACCCTTAACAGGTAGGGCCTGAGGAATGCTGGGAGAACCTGGTGGTCAGATCTGCTTTGAAATGTTAAATAGACACTTGTCCAGGTTGCCATTTGTCCAGGGTTTGAGACCTAACACTCAGAGGTCTGCCTGCCTCTGCCTCTTGAATTCTGGAATTAAAGGCATGTGCCGCCACACCCAGCTTCCAATGACTTTTTAAAAGTACTCTGTGAGTGGTTGGCGGTGGTGGCGTGCACCCTTAATCCCAGCACTCGGGAGGCAGAGCCAGGCGGATCTCTGGGAGTTCAAGGCCAGCTCTGGTCTACAGAGCGAGCTCCAGGACAGGCACCAAAACTACATGAAGAAACAAATAACAACAAAAGTACTCTGAGAAAAACAGGAAACAAGGTCATTACATCCATATAACTCATTTAGACACATGGAAATTCATTGTTTAATATGATTTTGGGGGTTACTCCTCTAAGGGATATAGGAGCAACTTTCATCATAAGCAGGTATGCAGGACTAAAACACTCCTGGGTTACAATAATCTGATACAAGTCTAAGGCTATAATGGGGAGCCTTCCCAGCTCAAGTCTCAGGGTCCACTTCCTTCTTTTCTGATGGGCAAATGTGATAAGGGACCACCTGTGAATCTGCTGTTGCCAACTCTCAATCCCCCTTCATTAGCTGGAAGTGGAAGGTGAACTAAGCCAAGTGCTGGCTACAATTCCAAATGCAGTGAGCATAGCCAATAAGTATTGCACAATGCAGGCAGGCAAAGAGCGATCGGACCCTAGTTGGGAAGGAGTTGGGACAAGCAAACATAATTTTATAGCACGAGGGTTTGGAAGCATCTTTCTTACACAGATCTAGGAAACCCGTAGGTAATAATTTCCCCTGTGGTTCAGATGACTATTTAAAAATCAGGAGAGAGGGCTAAACTTAGTTGTGGGACGCCACAGTCTTGGTAGGTAAGAGTGTGGCGTCTATGGGTTTGAAAAAGGCAGTCTTTTTCTATAACTAGACTAGAGCTAAATGGAACGCAGTACCTAGATAACAGCCCAGAAGCTGAGAGCTGGCCTGGTCCTCAGACAGAACCATGCCCTTTCTTTCTTTGTATAGCAATGAAGAGGGGAAATGAACATGGAAAATTTCAACCCCTTAGTCAAGGCACACCAAATTTCTTCTTATAAAACCTGGCATTGAAGTGGCCTTAATTTCAGCTATTAAAAACCACCCCCTCCCAGAAAAATAAACCAAAAGACTTAGCAGTGGCTAAACATAGACAGGACACTTCTTCCATGGTCTTTTCCCCAAGGATGTCAGTAGTGACAATGTCTTCTTCTTCTTCAGTGCCCTGTAGACCTGGCTGCTTCGGTCCTTATTCACCCAGTCAACAAGACATTGAGTAGCTGCCATGCAAATGTCCCCAATAAAATACTTGCAAACAGAATTCAAGCACATGTCAAAAAGATCATTCACCGTGATCAAATTCACTTCCTTCAAAGATTCAGGAATGATCAAACATTTGCAAATCAATAAATGCAATACATTCCAGAGCGGACTCAAGGACAAAAATCACATGACCATCTCAATAGACAAGGAAAAGGCTGCAAGACTTTTAGCATCAGGTAAGTTTGGACTTTGTTAAAAGTCTTGCAGAAATGAGAAATAGAAGGAATATGACGAAGACTATACATGACAGACCTATAGCCAACCAAAGGGAGAAAAACTGGAGTCATTTTCACAGAAGTCAGAATAAGACAGGTGTGTCCACTTTCTCTATTTCTATCAGTCTAGTGCCTACAGTCCCAGCTGGAGCAGTAAGACAGGAGAAGGAAATAGAATTGTAGACAGAAAGGAAACAGTCTAACTTATCTCCATTATATGAGGCCGTAAAGACTCCACCGGGAAACCCCTACAAAGATATTTAGCACATTTAGCAAAGCAGCACGATACAAAATTTAAACATAAGAAAACTAGTAGCCCTCCTCTATACCAATAACCAACACGGTGAAAAATAAAGCAGGCAAATAACCCCACTCACAGTTACCTCAAAAGAAAATGAATAAATAAATGTCTTGCAATAAACCAAACTGAGGAAGTGAAAGACTTTATAATAAAAACCTTAAAAAATTGCTGAAGAAAAAAAATTGAAGAAAATACAAGAAAATAAAAACCCCTCCCATTCTGTGGGGATATTTGTAATCGAAGAAATAAAGCTTGCCTGAAGATCAGAGGACAGAGGCAGCCACAGAGTTAGCCACAGAGGTCAGGCAGTGGTGGCACACACCTTTAATCCCAGCACTAGGAAGGTTGAGACAGGAAGTGATATGGCTGGGCAGAGAAAGGACTATAAGGCAGAAGACGACAGGAATTCGCTGTCTGGCAGAGTCTCTTTCAGGCTGAGGAGTTGGTGATGAGGTAGTGGCTGTGGCTTGCTCTGCTTCTCTGATCTTTCAGCTTTCACCCTGGTATCTGGTTATGGATTTTTGTTATAAGACCATTTCGGATTTATGCAACACTCATACTCATGGATTGGAAGAGTAAATATGGAAATTGCTATACAACCAAAAGCCATCTATATATTCAGTGCAATTCCCATCAACATTTCCATGTCATTCTTTATAGAAACAGAAACAAAATCCTAAAATTCATTCAGAAACACAGAATCCCAGATATCGAAAGCGACCTGAGGGGGAAAGACAGATGTTTTTCTTTCTCTCATTTGCAGATCTTAGATTTTTTTATATAGGGCCATAAATCAAGTATCTGTACTTCACGTGGAAGTAAAATTGGAATTGTCTATGGAAACAAATAGGACCACTAGAGATGGGAATGGGAGGAAGGAGAGTTAGGGGTAAGAGGAGGATGTGTGCCCAAAGTACAGCAGATGTTAACAGCAGCACGGCCTTGTGAAACAGTACTCTGCACAGTGAACATAGGCAATCACAAACAGCTTTTTAATGGGAGAGAAACACAATTCTATTCCCGAGAAGCGCATAAGCTAATAAATAATACCTAGTAAATGCAGGTAAGTCTCTGTGTTTGGGATGCTGTTTTACTTTTCCTGGGGAGATGCGAACAAATGTAGATTCACTCCAAATAGGGCCCCAGTGACAGATAAAAGAAAGGAGTCTGTCTTAGTTCAGCTCCATGAGCCCATGAGTTTGAGGTTTACTCACGGGAACATGGATGATAAAAAGAGTTGCATCCCACCCAGCGTGGGTCACGACCTCCTGACAGGTGTGCAGATGAAATCCCACCTTTGGTTAGCTTTCTCCTTCTTATATGCTATAATATCCCCTCAGGACCGTATGCAGCTGGGAGGAGG